AGTTTTTACTAGAGTGATGATTTTATGATCTGTCTGAACATGTGCGAGCATCAGAATAGGCTTACTCTAGAACAACGGGTGTCACTGACACAGTCACAGGCAAACTGAGACAGTATCTCTGATAAATATACACCAACCAGTTAAGGTGTCAGTGCTACCCTCTGCCTGCACTGGGCCTCCCAGGGGAAGTCATCCGCAATGACTTTCAGTGTTCACGTGAAAAATTCAGGGCATCGTGCTCTTGGATGGGTCCGCATGGCTACTGTATTTCTGATTCTCCAGCCCTGTAGTGTTATTGTGACGACTTTTATGTCTTCCTCTCCCTATGAGTGAAAATTCTCCCAGCTATGGCTACTTCAGCTCTGACCATCATCACCAGCATTTAGCATCTCAGCACCCACAGAGGGAAGGAACCAGCGCTCACAGAAGAATGAGCCCCTGGGTAGAAATGATGCCAGTGTTCGTCTTAGATGCTTAGAGTGGTCATTTGGTAAATACTACTTGTGTGTGTGCCTGTGGGGCTGGGGTAGGGCATTCTTCCACCCTGTGCAGCTGGCGGACTAGAACTGCATGGATTCTAAAATGCCTGTCTTCGAAGCAAAGAATAATGTTCTATTTTGTGGTGTTATTAAAGATCTGGGAGGAAGGGGAGAAAGATGATCTGCTTTCTGGATGTTTCTTTAGACTCAGACCAAGAAGGTTGTGCTTGATTTCAGTCCTTCAAACAGCTGCAAATGTTGCAGTAGTCTCTCGGGAGCTTCTAATCTATTTGGGGACCCACAAAAATATTTTTGAGCTCAACTCTTTTTTAACTAAAGCAGTCACACAGGACACTGTTGTCCAAGGTCCTCTGTGTTTGTGCCTATATGTGTATCGTATCTCTGTGCAAACAGTTGCACACAAACACCTTTTCTCTTGATAGAGAAAGCTCAGTCTATTCATAGGAAAATATTAGGTCAGGCTTTCTGGTTTTTTGTTTGTGCGCTGCGGGGTGCCTGATAGCGCTGCAGGGGCAGGCATCCAATGTCACGCCAGCCACCTACAGCACGCAGGGCGCCAGAGGCGCTGATGAGAGCTCTAATTAGAGGGTGTCAGAGAGGAGGAGAGAAAGAAGGGACAAAAAAATCCATGAAGATGGAAAATAAAGGGGGTGGGCTTCCCGTTTTTATTTATGGGAATTCTATGCTTTAGGACTATACTCACTTCAAATCCCGGTTTCTGAGTTGGTAGAGAAGAACCAACTGGACAGAATGGCCGACTGATCTTCCGAGTGCTGGCTGTTGCTTGTGTGAGCAGTTTCTGTCTACTCTCACCACACTTCGCTGTGACACCTTCAATTCTCTGCCGGCAATGGCCAGCATGCCGCATGTGCAAGCACCTTCATGGAGATCCCCACGTCATCTAGGCTCGCTGTCCTCCTAAGGGCCCTGTGCAGCTCTGCTTCTCACAGACATACCCTCATCGTTGACAAAGCAAGGACATCATTCCCACAGCCATGAGATTGTAATGACTCAGGACTTGGAAGGTTCCAGACCCTCCATCGGATCTGACTCTGACCTTTTCTTCCTGCCCATGGCCATCATCTTGTTAAAAAATAAAATTGAACAGAATCTTTAAAAATACTGACATCAGGGTCCTGCTTAGATACTAACAGAGCCCAGGCAGGTAACCAGGCACAGGTCCTGCTTAGATAGACAGAGCCCAGGCGGGGAAACCAGGCACAGGTCCTTTCTAACCAACTTCAGATGACTCCAGTCCTCAGCCTGTGTCTTCAGCAGGTGACACTGAGTCACATCCCAGATGGATACACCTAGGGGGCAAAGTTTAAAGAGATGTTCACTAGTGAGCATTACTCATGTCTTTCCCTTATCCTGGCAGTTTGATCTTCATGGAAGGTCACTTGAGTCCCCTTGGATGGAAACCATTTACCTCCTTGGCCATCTTCCCTCTCTGATGATCTTAACAACAATTCTCTATTTTAAGGAAATAGGAGTCACCCTTTTACATTGCCTCTGGAGCTAATTTCAAACATTGTTTTTCTCCCTTTAGAAGCACAATACTTTCACCAAAATACTAGATCTTAATTTGCTTCACTTTTTCCAAATGTGGTTTCCTCCCACAAAAGACCAAGTCCCCCAATTCTCATCCTATGTTTGAGAAAATACCACACTGACACAGACAGTCCCCTTTGTGTGAAGACTTGCTTGACTCTTGAAAAGATTCAGTGGTAGAATATAGTGCACAGGGCTGTTAGGGACCCAGCTGTCCCTTCTGGGGGAGTGTAGATGATGTTTGTTCTCTTTCCTTTAAACACTCATTTCTCATCCCCCACAGCTGACCTGTGGATCGAGAGGGAACACATCCACTAGATGTGAATGTGTCTGATACTCCGCTGTGAGGCCACCCTTCGGATATCCTGCTTCTGAACCTTCCTCCCCTGCCTCCACCCCGTCCTGACCACTCACCTGCCTTCTTCCCCACCACACCAGACCAGACTCCCAGGAGACATTCTGTACCTTCCTATTCACTTGCCCCTCAATTGGGCTTTCCGATTCTAAACTCTCCATCTTCCTCTGAGTCAGTGCTTCTCAGCCTGTGCATTCTGACCCTTCGGGAGCCGAAAGTCTCTTCCACAGGGGTTGCACACCAGATATCCTGCACATGAGATATTTACATTACAATTCTTAAGAGTAGCAAAATGACAAAATAATGTTATGGTTGGGGGTCACCACAACCTGAGGAACTGTGTAAAGGGTCGCAGCATCAGGAAGGTTGAGAACCACTGTGCTAACCTGCTTCTTCTCTGTGGATAATACCATCTGTTTCCTGAGCTGCCCCTTTCCCTCATTCCTCTTGAAAACATGCCTTTCTTCTGAGCCAGCTCTGTAAGTCCTGTCAGAGTCCTTCTCACCTACGTAACTGTCTTTTCAAACAGGAAACACTCTTTGGACTCTCCAGACAAGGGACCGATTTCTGAGATTCAGCACTGCAGGAGGATGACGCCCGAGCCTTGCTTCCTGCGATGATGATAGGGCCTGTCTCCCCTTCATGAAACTCCTGCTTCCTTAAGGATCAAACCACTTTCCATCTCTTCGTGTCCTCCATTTGAGTGAAGGAGAGCTGGCAGGTGTGTGCACACATGTGTACACGTGCACACGTGCTTGTGTAAGTACGTGTGGATATTGGAGATCAACCTTAAATGTGTTCCCAGGGCAGTCACCTTGTTTTTATTTAATTTTTTTAAGATTTTAGTTTACATGTATGAGTGTTTTGCCCATATGTGTCTGGACACCATGTGCATGCAGTGGCCATGAAGGCCAGAAGAAGGTGCTGGATCCCCTGGGACTAAAGCTACAGACAGTTGTCAATAACTGTACGGGTGCTAAGAATTGAACTGAGGTCCTCTGGAAATGGAGCCGGTGCTCCTAACTGCTGAGCTATCTCTTCAGCCTCTTACCTTGTTTTTAAAGACAGGGTTTATCATCAACCTGAAACTTGCTGAGTAGGCTACGCTGCCTGGCTACCAAGTCCTGGAGATCCGCCTCCCCCAGCACTGAGATTATCGTGTGCTGCCAAGCCTAGCTGGGCAGGAGAGACTGGCCTCCAGCGTTCAGTGCTTACAAGGAAAGCGTTTTGTGCACGGAGGCATCTTCCCAGTCTCCACAGAGGCTGTTTGTGAGTGGGAGACTATCACAGCAACGCTACGGAATCACACACATCAGTACCACCACTTGCTAGTTAGGTGGTTTCAGGCAAGTGTTTTCCTTCTTCTATTATTTGTATTGACTTAAGGACCATCTCGTGGGGTTGCTGTGCAAAGAGTGAACAAGCTGGGACTGAGGAGATGGATCCATGGTTAAAGACAAAGGTAAGAAACTAGCATGCGCCTGGGAGGTGGAGATGGTATGTATGCTCCCAGGGCCCACTGGCCAGTCAATATAGTCAATCAGTGAGCTCCAGGTTCAACTAGAGACCCTGTCACAACCAAAAGAAAAAGAAAAAAAGATGGAGAACAGTAATGAGACATCTGACATGAACCTCTGCCCCTCCCCCAGGGCTAGACCCTCACACATGTGCACATATATGCATACCCCGCCCCTCTCACGCACACACACGTGCACACACACTCACACCCACGCGCGCGCGCACACAGACTAACTTGTTAACGCGGGCTGGGGATGTAGCTCGGCCGTGGTGCACTGGCCTAGCGTATTCAAAACCCTGGTTTGCTCTCCAGTTTCCCCTCCCAGCAAAGTTAAAGCGTTTTCCATCCTTGAGATTTAAACATTCTGTACCCTCTCCCCCAACGGTGTAAGGGACTTGAAAATGCTGATCCACAGCAAGCACTCAACCCACGTTCACTACTCACGGCCTGACCCCTGCTCCATCACCGGATCTTTCAACAGCTCCCCCGCAGGAAGATCCAAATAAAGCCTAAGATCCGAGCCCGAGACTTGGACAGTGTCCCTGATTCCACGTCTAGCCAGCACCGAGAACCCCACAGACGCCAGTTCTCAGACCCCACCCTCTGCCAGCCCTGCTGTCTTTTCATTGTCAAAATGTGCTCACCCTTCAAGCTGCATCGCAGATACTAATTTCCTACTGTACTTCAAGTAAAAGTTCTAGCTCCGTACACATCTCTTAACAATAAATGGTTTGTAAGCTGACTTCGCGCTTGCTGCCTCTCCGCCCCCAGCCCTCCCTCTCTTCTTCCCTGGCTTGCTTTCCTTTATTCTCCACTTTTCCCTTCTGCTTTCTTTCTGCTCTCTTTTCACAGAAACAGATGGCCGTGTGCCAGGCTCCTGACGAGTACACATTGCGCATGCGCACCACTGGGCGGGAGGAAAGGGGATGTGAGAGGGGTCAGAAGTAGAGGTGGGACAGCCGCTCTCCCACCTGTGTTCCTGCCTTATCCAGATTCCTGGGTGCCAACCAGAATCTTACTCTCTTGTTAACAGGAATCAGTCACGTGTTGTGTCTTCGTCGCAGTTTCAATTCCGTGAGCCTTTGGGCCACAATTCCAGATTACCGTCCATCCTAGCAGAATCTTGAAACAGCTGTTCACATTACATCCACAGTCAGGGCCAGAGAAAAACCCATGCACACATACTTCCTTTCCTAGACTTTTAATGCAATTTGGGACCCAACTCAGGGAATGGTGCCACCCACAATGGTCTGGGTCTCCTCACGTCAATTAATGTGACCAAGACAAACGTCCTATAGACCAACCATACAATCCCTCACTGAGATTCCCTTCCCAGGTAATTCCAGACTGCGACAATGCAAAGTACCCATCCCAGTTTTGGTGGGCAGAGGCGTATTATCACTGTAAAAACCCCTATAGCATAGAAGTAATACACATAATTTTCTCAAATTTTCACCTAGTTAAGAAATACAAATCTCAATTCTGAAAGTACAGAGAATACAGTGACCTGTATGATTTTTTTTAATATTATCTGGACGTATCCTTTAAAATGAAGATTCATGTTAAGATTCTTCAAAACAGATCGCTGCTCTTCATGTGAGCCAGCAGCTGGCACTACAGCCATTTGTATCTGCTCCTATTTTATCGTATTCCCTGGAGGCTCAAGCCCTGCCACCTCTTCCTCCTGTGAGTCATCTGTATTTGTACACTCAAAGCCTCGCTGTGTGCCAGTCGGGGAAAACCTCGCCAGGAGACTGGCAGGGCATTAGAGCATGACCGAACTGCATGTAAACTGCCTGAGGAATCTGACTCCCCTGGGAACAGTTTTCACAGTGCGGTGGCCCTGCAGGCTGCCATACATGTGGAACCCAAGTGTGTTTGAAATATGTTCCCACAAGCTAGAGTTCTGGTGCCTACTGCCCCTCATAAGAGGCTGATACAAAGCTCCCAGGTTCTCTGAATCTACGTGAGTATGCCCCACGGGAACTACCCATATGAACAGGGAGGGAAGGAAAGCAACTTAGGATGGTTGCCCCAGCTCCTCCCTGGCACCGTGTCTTTGCCATGACTCCCATTAAGCTGCTTTTACCACAGCTTCCTCTGGAAACCCTATAGCTTACCTCGGGGTCCCAGGCTCAGAAGGGCCACTGGCTTGTGATCTCTTTTACCTGAAGAAATTTCCATAGTCTCTGACTGAAACAACTCAAATTCTTAATTTAGGTCTATCACCTGCTTCCTAAATACTGACTGATTCGCAAGGTCATTCTGTCTCTATCTCTTGAAGTAATTTATCCATCAACGTCATGTAGCTGACCAAAAGAATAAGAGAGAAAGAGTGAGAGGTGCCTGGGGCCAGCTAGCCAGGTAGCTGCCAGACAGACAGACAGACAGACAGACACAGAAGAAGCAGGAAAAGCAGGACATGCAGAATGAAAGAAAGGTTAAAAAGCTCTGAGGTCTTTAAAAAGTTGTGGTCACTGGGTCTTTCTAAATTCAAAAGGTTCTAATCAAAGGCCCTACCAGAGCTTTCAAGGCGATATCTGAAGAAGAGAAAAAGGTCTGAGTGGCCTCATGAGACCACTGTTTCTTCTCACAGTTGGATCCAGAGGAAGCTGTTGGTGGCTTCCAGAGACTCATGTCCGTGTGTAATGGAGAAGACAAAGACACTGCCGAGCAGGCAGTGAAGAGAAACCGCCCACGTGGGAAGACAGGAGCAGCAGCACACAGTTCGCCAGTGGAAACCAGCAGCAGTGGAAGCTGTCGCTCTTCCAGACGGAGTTAGATGGCCGCAAAGTGGGGTCTTCGTTCTGACCTTGATAATGTGGCGGGATCTTCATGGACTTTCAGGCTAATATGCATGGATACAAAAATTACCCAGCAATCTTGAAGCTTAAAAAAAAGGAAAAGAAAAAGATGGCAGTAATTAAATAACAAAAAAAAACTATATTCAAATAAAATTAAGGGTTTGACTTAAAGCCGTGGGGGGCTTCTCCCTTTGTTTCGCCTTCCACAGAATTTAAAGGAGAATGAGACAGAGTGAGCATTCTGGGAGAATCCACATCCTGACAAGTGGCCCCATCTAGACTGAGAGGATTGCTGGTCCAAGGTCCCTTCTATGCCCAGCACATCTTTTGGCTCCATTTTATACTTCATACAAATGATGTGGGGAAGTTTTAAGGTCCAGGAAGAAAGAAGTTCAGAGTTTGGCTGTGTGTTAGTTAGGTCTCCATCACCGTGAGAAAGCACCATTACCAAAATCTACTTGAAAATGAAAGGTTTTATTTTGGGTTTACAATTGTCAGGTCATACTCCAGAACTGAGGGAAACCAGAGCAGGAACAGGAGGCAGGAGCTGGAGCAGAGGCCATGGAGAAGTGGGCTTACTGACTTGCTCTTTCTTGGCTTGCTCAGCCTAGTTTCTTATAGCGCCCAGAGCGACTACTAGCCCTGGAGTGGCACCCCCAAAGAGAGTTGGGTCCTTTGCATCCACCATCATCAATCAAGAAAATGCAGCCCAGGTCTGCCCGCACGCCGGGGGGGGGGGGGGCGTTTTCTCATTTGATGTTTGCTCTTACAAAATGACTCTAGGTTTTGTCAAAAAAACAAAAACAAAAACAAAAAAAACTAACAAGCCCAGACTGTGATCTTTATTCCAGAACCTTTGTAAGATAATTCTGGCAGAGATCTTTTCCCAGGATTTAACCATAAGGGGGAAATGACTGCATGTCATGGGTTCTAATGTCCCTAACTATTGCTGTTTTGGCCTTGGCCGCAGAGGAGCTGAATGACTGTCATTCTCTCTGTCAGGATCTGATGGAATCCAGCCTCTGTCCCTGTCAATGTTTCATACTCGCATACTTGAAGATTGTGCTTATCCACTGATGTCTTGTTTGCATCTCTATGGTTTCTAGAGAGGTTGCAAGTTTTGTTGAATGTTTATTTGTAGCAGACTTTCTCTTGGGCTGCCAACCAGCTCCCAAATCACTTCACTATGCAGACTTATTATTGGTATTGAATGCTTAGCCTTATCTTATGCTTGTCCCACTAGCTTTTATATCTTAATTTAATCTGTTTCTTTCCATCTATGTTTTTGCCTCAGAGCTTTTTAACCTTTCTTTCATTCTGCATGTCCTGCTTTTCCTGCTTCTTCTGTGTCTGTCTGTCTGTCTGGCAGCTACCTGGCTAGCTGGCCCCAGGCACCTCTCACTCTTTCTCATTCTCTCTTCTCTCTCAAGCTAGATTCCTACCCCTACTCATTCTCTCTGCCTGACAGTCCTGCATATGCCTCTTGTGCTGAGCTATTGACAGTTCAGCTTTTTATTAGACCAATCGTGTACCTTAGGCAGGAAAGATAAAACAGCAAAACATCTTTGCATAACTAAACAAAGGCAACATAAACAAATGCAATGCACCTTTACATAGTTAAAGAAATAGTCCACAACGTAAGCAGATGTACCACATCTTTATATAGTTAAAGTAATATTCTACAACTCTTCCCCCGTTTTGTCTAAAAAGAAAGGTTTTAACTTTAACACTGTAAAAGTATATGCAATAAGAACAACTACCAAGTAAAAATTACATTTACCATATCTAGTCCTTTTTTATTTGGCAAATTCAAGAAAATACTCCATTTCTTATTCTATCTTGATGAATCCAAACTTTGTACCTAATTTACCTTCATCATGACTCAGAAAAACTGTATATCTATGTAGTCTTCGACTCCATCGAAGACCCCAGAAGAATAAAATATTACTTGAGTAAACAGGAAGTACAGAGCAAGCAACTTCCAACACCAAGGTAATGACAGAAACAGTTAGCTGCCTGGACAGTCACCCGAGTTTCCTCTGCACAACTGGAGCATCCATCCTCAGTCCACAGGCCTAGAATATCTGGCAAACTTTTCTATAAAGCAGAAATTTTGGAGGACTGTTCCACCTTGCTTTGGCAAAGTTTGGCAGTCCCTTTCCTTTGCGTCTCGCTTGTCCAGTATACGCAGCATTCCGTCAGCAGTTGAGGCAAGGGCACTTTCTTGTCTAAATGGTTAGCTATGCCACAATGAAAGCAAACTCCATATGAAGGTTCTTTATGCTCATCAGTCTTTTATGAAGTAGATTGGTACTGCCAGGAGCAGTCATGTCTCACTGTCATGGAAACCCTATGTTACTAAACAGCTTAAATGTCATATTCTCTAGATCTCTGAAGCATTTGAAGAGCATCTATCTATCTAAAATATATCTGTTTAAACTTGAAAACATACCTAACATGACTACAAGTTTGATTATTATAAAATGACTACTAATCTGTATGTCTTAATTATACATTACATTTTTAAATGAGCTGCATAAGTATAATACCCCAAACAAGAGTAGAAACATATACAGTAAACCAAAATGACTTGAAATTTATATCAATATACCAAATCCATACCAATGCAAAATATTTGAGGTTAATAGTTGCCTTTTTATCCTATATTATTTATATCCTCCCTAGATGATGACAAAATCCATAACCCACCAAATGACCAAAACCCACCTACCCCACTTCTTGGGAATGTGGGCATTGTGTTCACTGAACTTCTTCCTGTAGTCTGAGGGTGACAGCCTCTTTAGAGGACCCTGAGAAAAATGAGATAATGGTCAAGCCCTGGGAAAACTAGCTGTAACATTTGTTGTCATTCTCAAAACTGTTCCCATGCAGAGAGATCAGCAAGCTGTCACCTGTCTTATAGTTGATCTTGGCTTATTTTTTTATATCTGTAGCTATAATTTTCAGGAGGTCTCTCCCATAATGGGGGCCAGCAGAGTCCAGCTCTACTCACTCCCTGCCAAGGTTCAGGTCAGTTGCCTCAGCATACTGAAAGAAGTTGGAAAATTTCTAGTCTAAGAAGTACAGAATGTGTTCATACATGTGCTGTTCAAATCATGTTCTTTATTCTTCTGCCCCTGTTGCAACATTTCAAGTATATATACAACACACACACACACACACACACACACACACACACATACACACACAAGCAGATAAGAGCTGTCCCAAGTGACAAAGTCAGCATCTTTATGGCCCTAGGGCAGTGTGGCTAGAAGGATGCCCAGGCAGCGCTAAGAGACAAGAAGGCCTATTTAGGAGGCTTTAAGTTCTATGAGGAAGGGAGTTCATGCATGAAACTATATTCCTAGGTTAAAATCTACATCAATAAACAGAAGTGAGGGTAAGTGTAGGGACTTAATAGCTTTTTTAGGGTTTGCATGGGGGTCAGGTGAGGTTAGCACTTTCCCAAGTAGACTGCAGGTAAAGTTGGGAGACCCAGCCTCCATACCAGGAAGGACTATGAATCAGACAAGCTCTCTGACTATGTGACTAAATTCTCTCACCAGAGGTCTCACAGAGTGGAGGAAGTCAGGCTTTTAAGTGTCCACTGTCCTTGAAGACAAATAGATCCAATTATGAAGCATGTCCCCATATGTATTCTATACATCAAAACTATATAGTTAAATGAAAAGTCATTTCATGACCACCTGCAGACATATGTGCCCATAAGACTGAGATGCAATCATGAGACTACACACTGCAGTGCAGGTATTGGGGAGACACCAATGGCTTTAGAAAAAGCAAGCAACAGTTTTTAGAGTTGATGGTCCTGTAGACCTTGTCTGGGCAAAACTAACCTCCATTAGAGAGTCACCCCTCTGGTGGGTTGACATCAGAACACTAGTTGTCACCTGCTGTAACTCTCATAGCCCCTGACATCTCCAATCAAACCTGATCTCTACTAACCTTGAAGGAATCCACAGCCTTTCATTTCCCTTGGAAACAAAAGCATAACCTCTCTTCCAATGCAATACATTTTCTGAATTCCATTTTAAGGTTAAGGCATTCCTAAAGTATCTAGGATGGTTTAATTCAACAGTTCATTTTATAATCCCATGTCTCTCAACAGATGCAATTCACTCATCAGCATTTAAAGAATTTCAGAGTCAACACAAAACCACACAGGATCCAGACCTCCTGGCATATTTCCCACACATTTATGAGGCTTTTTTCTTTTATATTACTTTACTCTCTTTTTAATGACTATATTTTTTATAACCATTATTTTCTATGAGTGTCTATACCAATTTTCTTTCTTAAGCCTATGCACATTATAAATACACTGTAATCTGTTTAGAATATTTTTCTATCTGGACCTGTCTTTTTTTCTAGTTATCTCAGGCACTAAGTGGAAATTCAGGCTCCACATTAGAACACCAAATGTAGCTCTTGGGCTGCTAACCAGCTCCCAAATCGTGACACAGAGACTTTGGCCTTATCTTATGCTTGTCCCACTAGCTCTTATATCTTAATTTAACTTGTTTCTCTTAATTTATGATTTGCCTCAGGGCTTTTTACTGTTGTACCCAGAGCCAAGACCCCCAAAGACCACCAAGAGACCACATCTGACACAAAAGCAAAAAGTCTTTTTTTTATTATTCCAGCCTGATGGGGCCAACCATCCTTCACAAAGACAAGATGTCCACAACCCAGAGAGGCAGGTGGGGGCTTCTTTTAAGCCTTATAGAGGGGAGTGCCTAAGGAAGTTAAATCATTTTCGATATGATTGACTTAAGCAAGTGGAAATCATATTAGCATGTTTTAATTGGCTAGGACTAGTCAGTGTTTAGTCAGGGCTACAGTTTTCTACTTTTGGGCAGGCCTGGACAAGTCCCAAGCCCTGACCTGCTCAGGCTTGTCCTGGACTCCTCCCTGCTGCTGGGGGCGTTGGAGATTGATTTTCCCCTTATTCGTGGCTTTTTCCTCAGGAAGTGTTTGTTCAGTCTCCGAAAGCTGAAACTGAGCTGATGTCTAAGATTGAGCGGCTTGTCCGGGCATCTGCTTGGTCCTATCATTCTGCACGCCCCTCTTTTCCTGCTTCTGCAGTCTGGCTGACTGGCACAGGCGCCTCCCTCCCTCTCTTCCTTGCTCTCTCTTCTCTCTCAAGCCTACATTCCTCCTCCTACTTATCCTTTCTGCCCACCAGCCCCGCCTATCCCTCCTCTGCCTAGCTATTGGCTGCTCAGCTTTTTATTAGGTCAATCAGGTGCCTTACACAAACAATATAAAACAGCCACACATCTTTATGTAACTGAACAAAGGCAGCATAAACAAATGCCTAAACAAATGCAACACGCCTTTACATAAATTAATATTTCGCAATATAATTAAATGTAACACATTTTACATATTAATATTCCACAATACCTTCCTTTTTTATACTCTTGTCTTGGAGATGGTGAACCCTGTGTCTTTAAATTGTTCTTCTCTTGCTGGAGGATTCCAGCTTAATTCTTACCCTCTTCAGTTATATGCATCATATACTTGTCTTAGAAAGCATTGCAGGGTTTAGTTGCTGTTGCTACTCTAAATGACACTTGATTCCAGAGTCAGCACCTGTGGTGATGTTTATTGTGGTGTAATAGACAACAGAGAAAGTTGTAATCCTCTGAATATAGGTCCAGAGTTACTGAGGAGAGAGATCCTGGGCATACATCAAAGCAAGAACCTCTGAGGCTCTGTTGATGAGCAGGTCAAAGGTCATAAATTAGGGGGCAGCCTGGGAACATATCGGAGAGTAACAGAGGGGGTTCTAAAGATGTGTCAAGTGGGTTCTGGTGTAGACTCTCCAATGTATAAAATCACTTCCTGATAGGGTGGCTTCCAAATGGATTTCAGGACCTAGGTCAACGGTGACCCCTGGCTATGGGTGCAGAATTACAGCGTGCAGAGGTGCAGAGGGAGAGAAACAGAAGGAGCATAGTGATGCCCCTGGCAGCCAGCTGCTCACCTCCACTAGCAGAGTCACTAATGGCTTTTGTATGATTGGAGGTTTCTTTGCCAGTGAAGAAGCCAGAGTGCAGCCAGGCTTCTCTGCACCCATAGGACAGGCTAAGATGCCAGGCCTCCGATTGGCACCAGATGTCAATTTGACTCCAGGTTTGCTCTGTGCAGTTGCAACCAGAAAACACTAAAAGTGGAAGGTATACACTTTGCCCTCTGTACTTGCACTTCTGTCCCTCAGATCATCAAGCAGAGGGTAGCAGAAGCTTGTCAGAGAGAGCAGGAACCTGGGCATCCTCAGCATCCATGGCTGGCTCCTAGAAGAAGGGCTACGGGAGCAGTGTGGCGACATTGACCCTGTGTGCCGTGGAGTACAACCAACCACCTTGTAGTAACATTCAGGAGCCAAGCCCAGCTGCCCCCTCCCTCACAAATAGCTCTGGTTTTCAGACATTTCACATCCAAAAATCTACCTGATGAGCGCATTCCACTTGGGCAGAGAATCAGGGTCTCAGGAATCCAGCCTGGGTCTTTGCACAACTGACTGCCGCAGTGCATCGGCTGAGTGCAGCCTTTCCTTGTAAGGTCATCACCAGCCTTCTTGATTGTCACTTCCTGTCTTCTTGCTAGCTCACGGTGGCACTGTGGCCTCCCTGTGTGTAGCTAAAGAGCGGGGTGGTTGGTCTTTTGTGTGGCAGACATGGCAAACCTGGCAAAACATCTAAACAAGTATTCTAATGCGTGCTGCTGGACCTCCAGGGCTGATTCACTCGGGAACATTCTTCTTATTTCTGCCCTGTTCTACCTTCCTTTCCTATGAGAATGGATTCTGCCTGTCCTCAGAAGAGATTTGGAAAACAAACAAAGGCAGATCATAAAATTCCAAGATTTCTTGTTGGCAGCTTCAAATGGTTATTATTCCAGAGGCAGGCAATGGTGCCAGAGAGGGTCTGGAACGGGAGGGAGTGAACCAAATCAGCCTCCCATTACAGGCTGCCAGGAAGTGAATTAACACGTTAGAGAGGGTCTCCTCCAGAATTTAGAATATCAGACAAACAATTTCTGGGGCTAACACAAAATTTCAAACACAGCAAACGCCTAGCTGCTCCCTGACATTCATGTTTGCGATTCTATTAAAGGAGCTTTTGCTAAGAGATTTCTTGGTTTCCAGAAATGAGCTGACAATCACCACTGAATAAATAGATTTACTGAGGGTGTTATTTGGTTTCAGAGACTGAAATTACTCCTTCTTTGCAGTGTTAAGGAGGATTTACCTTAGTAACAAATCAAGTTCTAGCCCATTTTAAGCATGTATTTTTTTTGGTCAGGAATCCACAAGACTCTCTCTCCCTTAGGTTTTCTGTTACTTTGATCTGCGCACACACAAAATGTATCTCCATTTGCCATTCTCTCCAGAGTCCTTTGTGCAATCTTATCCCCATTAACAAAACACACCAAAGTTGTGAGGGGGAGGAAGATCCACTGCTACCAGTGTGGGAGGAAAAGGCAGGTGACACCAACTGCGTGTGTGTACGGAAACATTCTGCCTTTGCAGCCGTACATTAGAAAGGTCGGGAAACTCTAAACTGAAGGATGTTCAAGCTCCAACATATGCACCCCTTAAACAAGGATGCCACCATGATGTTCCTGGACCAACTGTGCCAGCAGCACCTGGGAACTGCTTAGAAATGCCTATCGCCAGGCCCCACACAGCTCAGTGAATCAGAAACTGGAGGGCAGGCCCAACAGGAAGCCTACCAGCTGATTCTGATCATGGTCAAGTTTGAGGCGAAATACCTGTACCATTGATAAGCCTACAAGTACTCTAATGTTAAGTCTTCCCTTCTCTGTGTGATAGCTCTGTTGGTTTCTGTGAAGCAAAGGCCAAGTATTTGTTTCATTTCTGGTCCTTAATCTCCAAACACAATAGATGAGGCAGTCTGCTGTGAAGAGGCACCATGTCCACAGCAACAGTTCAGAGGTTCAGGCCATTGTCAGCATGGTGGGACATGACAGCATGCAGGCAGACATGGTACTGGGGAGGGAGCGAAGAGTCCTGCATCCACAGGCAACGGGAAAGGAATTGAACTAGGCGTAGCTTGAGCAAAGGAGACCTCAAAGCCTGCACTCATAGTGACACACTTCCTCCAACAAGACCACATCTCCTGCCACTCACTATGAGCGTATGGGGGCCAATTACATTTAAACTGCCATAGGCCCTAAAGATCTCAGACTATACAGTTCCTGGGAAAATTCAGGACCAACTCTTTGAATGAAATAATACCCAACCCAGAGAACTTGAGAACTAAGAAGCAATACAAGGTCTTTGAAAGAGGGAAGACGTTATTTTATGAATCCTGCGGTACCAGTCATATCCTCTTTTGTAGTAATAATATCAGTCAAGACAATTTCCGTTGATTTTAGTAAAGATTCAGTGATTGCCAGATTGCTATTAATCTGTAAATCTCAAGTACACTGGTACTGAATTTAATATTTCATTGACATAAAATCCTGCAGATAAATAGGCTTTGTATGCAAAACCATTTTCTCCCGTTCCTCCGTCTAGTCCTCTCCTCATGTGTCCCCCATCACACCCCACTCTGCCCTTTCACCAGCAAACCTTCTGCTCTTTTGGGGACAGTTGGAGCCATAATTCCCACCCAACCCATTGGGACCACGTATGTTTCCAATTTCATACTGCTTTCAATTTTAAAAGAATGCTGTAAACATTTCTCCTTTTCACTCACTCGTGGCTGACATGTCACTTACCCATCACACGGTTGCTTAGTCCCGTTTCACTTTATCTGGATAGCTATACTTTTTGTTTCAGAGTTCCTGATAACATTTACACTGTATGAAGGTCAGCATCAGACTCCTAGAACCCATTCATGATCTGGGCTCCAAGGAACTTAACCCCTTCCGTTCACAGCTCTGCCCTCCACAGCAAGCACAGCTTATCTTCTAGGCTCAGGCCAGCCCCCTGTACAGCTACTGCTGGTCTTGGTGGTCATTCCGTGGTGCTGGCATCTCCAAAATGCTGGGGTCTCAGCTACAACTGGCCTGCACCTTCATCACTAACCTCTCCTGGGCTCTTTTCAGGGACTCTGACTCTGACACATGATACCAAGCCTCAGCTGGTCTCTATGACCCCTTCAAGCCCCAAACTTCAACTCGCTACATAGCTAAGACCAGTTCTGAACTCCTGAGCTTTCTGCTTCCATTTCCTGAGTCCTCAGATTACAGACATGTAATGAGAACTTGAGACTATGATTTCAAGCCTTTACACTGAAAGATTCCAGTCTAAAAATGCTCAAAAGGAGTGTTACAGTGCTCACATTTCCCTAACCAGAGGGAACGTTCTTCCTTCTACTTGTACAGGTTGAGCATCCTTCATTCATATGTGTGTGGGGGGGTTGGATTTGGGGATCTCTCCATATGCACGGTGACAGTCTTGATGATGGGAGTCTAATCTGAAACTTATGTGTTTTATGTACTGTTGGGTCTGGCCCGACTGGTTCATACGTTCCAGAAAAGGGAAGTGTTAAGTGAGGAAAGAAATAGACAGGAGACAGAAGATAGAGTCAAGAGCCTCCAGTGAGTATTGTAACAGAGCCCTGAGTTTATTGCTCACAGTCCTTATACATCCCAACCCAAAGGGAGGGCACAGACTTCCGTGATCCAATGAATAGGCAGGTGTAGTTACCCCCTTACAAATCAAAACACCTGTAACCATGTCCTAAGTCAAACTCCCTGTTGTCTGGCTCTTGAGGAGCAAAGCATCCAGTAACCAGACCTTTGGCCAAACGTCCTGTTGTTCATCCTTGAGGCCAAGAATAGGTTTGAACTCTCTGACCTGTAGTCAAGATGGAACAGATTCAAAACTGTGGGCCTTCACAATCTTATTACACACAGTCTGAAGACCTTTTGCATGATATTTTTTAGTGTACTGATTGATAAATTTTGAATCCCTGGCTATTGGAGATCCACTGCGGCTGATGTAATAAGCCAATCAAATTGAATTAATAAATTCAGGCTTAATGAACAGCACAAAGCCCTCGTGAGTGATCCTCAGGAGGGCAGGGGAGGAACCACACAGCAAATACTACAGTCAGGTCTTTCTTAAGTAGACTGTAAGTGTAGTCTTGAGTAGTTCTGGGGAGGGCTAACTCTTGGTGAGCTTTCTGAGGGGAGAGATTACTTTTGGGGGCCTGGGGAGCTTTCTGACGGGGGCAGGGTTTGGAGAGAGAGAGAGAGAGAGAGAGAGAGAGCGCTTCTATCTAGTCATCCCAGACTCTGCGCATATGGACGCCAGGGATAGGGTAGGGCTTCCACCAGAACAGTGGTTTTGCATTTTACTGTGATCTGTCGTATGAGGTCTATGTAGACCCTTCCCACATCTAGTATTGTGTTAGTGCTGAAGAAGTTTCATATGTGGGAGCACTACAAACTTGGGGTTCAGATTAGCGGTGTGCACAATGGGTCACTGAGTGATAGCAAGTGATAGCCACAGAGGGTGGCTGTGCACCCTAGTTATTCTGCTTGTGTCTAGGAGGTCAGAATGCAAATCCAGTGCCAGGCTCCTGGGTACCTGCCTTGATTCTTGGCCAGCCCTGACTGTGCAGCATGTATGCAGCATGCTGACTCCAGTTAAGCCAGCTGCTCAGGCCCCCTGCTGCTCAGCCCCACCCCCGCCCCCCGCTGCTCAGGCCCCCTGCTCTTCACACACCCCCCCTCATACCCCCCCTCCCGCTGCTCAGGCCCTCTGCTGGTAACCTTCATCAGTTATCAAAGAGCTCAGGATGAGTGTGTCAGAACACATTTGGGGTGACCAGGGAAGGGAAAACTAAGTATTGGCTATAGACTCTGTTTTGTCCCTGTTGGGGTATCACACACAGAGTCCAGTCTGTCCATTAGGAACACATTTTAGATCCTAACAATGCTGTGTGCTCCATCAGACAGGATTGAGGAGAAACAGTCTGTAGAAGAAGGCTACCCCTCCCTGTGCTGGCCAATGTGGCCAGACATTGGAAGAGAAAGACAGGGGTTGTAAAGATGTTTGCATTGGCTCCTCTCATATTCCTCTTTCCTTCAGGCTAGATTACTGCATTTTAAGCTCTAGCACAAGTCAAGTCCCTATTAGTTTGCCCCGTTCTTAGCACAGTGCATGAATCCAAGGGGATCTGCTGTGAAAATAAGAGCTGTGTAGTTGATATTGCTGGAATCTGCATCACCAGCTTCCTAGCAATCCATCTGACATCAGTGACGTCTTTGGGACGCCAAATTTAGAACATTTATTTAGGAACTTAACTTCAGTCTCTTAACAGCTCCCTCCTGACAATGCACGCTGGATGTTTTGGTTTGCTAATCCAACAGTCATTTCTGAGATCCATACAAATGAAAAACCATACCAATAAGACACGAAACCCTTAATTACTCTAATGTATGTCCCAAGGCTCTCCTCCCAGCTCCTCCCTCCCCCCAGCCATCCTTAACTTCTCTGGGCACCATCCAGGAGGCTGAAGCATCCAGCCCATCACTGTTCCCTTCCACAGGCTGCGGGAAATTTGTTTTACAAGACTGGTTTTAACGGAGCTACCTGCTGTGCGCCACATTGCCAGTGTTTGTGAAGTGAATGATGGGAAAGGCAAGTCTGTGATTTCATTTGTTCAGACCGAT